TGGTTGGAGATCTCCAGAAATTATTCTTTGTCCTTAACTAATACTTTGTTCAATCAATTGACCAATATCTCTGCACTGCCCCTTCCATCCCCAGCCTCTGGTAATTACCATTCTATCTCTGCGCCTATGAGTTTGACAACTTTAAATTCCACGTATAAGTGAGATCATGCAGTATTTGTCATCCTGTAGCTAGCTTATTTTACTTAGCATGATGTCCTTTAGGTTAATTCATGTTGTCACAAATGTCAGGGCTTTCTTATTTTTTTTAAAAGGCTGTCTTCCCTCATAGCTCAGTCACTAAAGAATATGCCTGCAATGCAGGAGACCGGGGTTCAGTTCCTGGGTCAGGAAGATCCTCTGGAGAAGGAAATGATTACCCACTCCAGTATTCTTGCCTGGAGAATCCCATGAACAGAGGAGCCTGGTGGGCTACAGTCCATGGGATCGCAAGAGTCGGACATGACTTAGCGACTAAACCACCACCACCTGTAGATACATCACGTTTTCTCTAACCATTTATCTGCTGATGGCCATTTCAGTTGTTTCTATCTTGGTTATCATGAATAAGAGTGCAGGTATCTCTTCAACATCCTGATTTTGTATCCTTTGGATATACACCTGAAAGTGTAACTGTTGGATCACCGATTAGTTCTTAAATAAATTGAATCTATAGTTTAAAACATCAAACAGTAAATCTTCAGGTTCAGATGATTTTACTACTAAACTTTACCTAACATTTAAAGAAGAAATAAATTAAAATTAGTTATTTAATTAAATAAAAATAAAAAATTCTACATAATTTCTTCCATATAATAGAAGGGGAAGGATCACTTCTCAACTCATTTTACAAAGTCAGTACTACTCTGATAGCAAAACAGACAAAGGCAAATCAAAAAGAGGGTACTATAGGTGAACATCCCTCATAAACTTAGTTCTGAACAAAATATTATCAATCCAATTGAATTATATATTTAAAAAATCCACAACCACGTGAAATTTATCCAGTGAATGCAAGGCTGGCTCAATATTTGAAAATCAATCAATCCACCATGTGTAAAAATAGTCTAAAAGAAGAAAAACCACATACTCATTAATAGATGCAGGAAGAAACTGATCAAACAATAAAAACTCTCCACAAAATAAAAATAGAAACAAATTCTTCAAGGTGGTAAAGATTATATATGTAAAAAAAAATCTTAATGAAGAAAGTCCAAATGCTTTCCCTATGAGATCAGGAACAAATCAAGAATGCCCATTCTCAATAATCATATCTTGTATCATACTGTTCCTAACCAGCGAAACATGTTAAGAAAAAGAAATAAAGGGCATACAGATTGGCACTCATAAAAGAAACCGTCCATATTCTCTGATGACCTGATTGTCTATGTATAAAACCAAGGAATCTGCAAAACACTCCTAAACCTAACAAGTGAGCTTAGCAGGGTCAGAGGATAATAGGTCAACACACAAATATCAGTCATTTTTCTATGTACAATTAATAAACAACTAGAAATAAAAATTCCTGAAAGTTCCAAATCATGAAATGAAACACACACACACACACACCCATTTAAATAGGTATCGAATCTGTATGTGCTCAGTCACTATGTTGTGTCCTACTATTTGCAAACCCATGGACTGTAGCCTGCCAGGCTCCTCTGTCCATGAGATCTTCCAGTCAAGAATACTAGAGTGGGTTGCCATTTCCTTCTCCAATGGGATCTGTGTAATGAAACCTAAAAATGGTGATAACGTATATACCCTATTGTGCATAAAACAGATAGCTAGGGGGAAGCTGCTGTATCGCACATGTAGCTTAGGTTGGTGCTCTGTGATGACCTACAGGGACGGGATGGGGAGGTGAAAGGGAGGTTCAGATGGAAGGAATATATGTATACATAGAGCTGATTCACTTCATTGTACAGCAGAAACTAACATAACATTGTAATGCAATTATACTACACTAGGAAAAATCAAAGATCTAATTTAATGGAAAGAGATACTGTGTTTAAGTATTTGAAATCTCAGCATAATAACAATGTTAATTCTCTCCAAAGTGATATGTAGATTTAATGTAATATTGATAAAAATCACAGCAAAATTTTGTAGATGTATAAAATATAATACAAAAGATTTTCAGGAAAGGCCAAACAGCTTAATAGATAAAATGATTTTGGAGAAGAATATAGTTGGATGAATAGCACTATCTATATTGAGACCTTTTGTAAAGAGATATACACATAAGTCAATGGGACAGAAAAGAGTTCAGATATAAACCTACAGAAGTATGACCACTTGACTTTTGACAAATGCACAAAAGGCAATTGAAAGATGAAAGAGTCAGTTCAGTTCAGTCGCTCAGTCGTGTCTGACTCTTTGCAACCCTATGAATTGCAGCATGCCAGGCCTCCCTGTCCACCACCAACTCCTGGAGTTTACTCAAACTCATGTCCCTCGAGTCGGTGATGCCATCCAGCCATCTCATCCTCCGTCGTCCCCTTCTCCTCCTGCCCCCAATCCCTCCCAGCATCAGGGTCTTTTCCAACGAGTCAGCTCTTTGCATGAGGTGGCCAAAGTATTGGAGTTTCAGCTTCAGCATCAGTCCCTCCAATGAACACTGAGGATTGATCTCCTTTTGGATGGACTGGTTGGATCTCCTTGCAGTCCAAGGGACTCTCAAGAGTCTTCTCCAACACCACAGTTCAAAAGCATCAATTCTTCAGTGCTCAGCTTTCTTCACAGTCCAACTCTCACATCCATACATGACCACTGGAAAAACCATAGCCTTGACTAGATGGACCTTTGTTGGCAAAGTAATGTCTCTGCTTTTCAATATGCTATCTAGGTTGGTCATAACTTTCCTTCCTAGGAGTAAGTGTCTTTTAATTTCATGGCTGTAGTCACCATCTGCAGTGATCTTGGAGCCTCAAAAAAAAAAGTCAGCCACTGTTTCCACTGTTTCCCCATCTATTTGCCATGAAGTGATGGGACCAGATGTCATGATCTTAGTTTTCTGAATGTTGAGCTTTAAGCCAACTTTTTCACTCTCCTCTTTCACTTTCATTAAGAAGCTTTTTAGTTCCTCTTCACTTTCTGCCATAAGGGTGGTGTCATCTGCATATCTGAGGTTATTGATATTTCTCCCGGCAATCTTGATTCCAGCCTGTGCTTCTTCCAGCCCAGCATTTCCCATGGTGTACTCTGCATATAAGTTAAATAAGCAGGGTGACAATATTCAGCCTTGACGTACTCCTTTTTCTATTTGGAACCAGTGTTTTGTTCCATGTCCAGTTCTAGCTGATGACAGAGTAGTATTTTCAAAAAATGCTGTTAGAACATTAGTCATCTATATGTAAAAATTAATATAGATCTAAACTTTGCATCTTTATACAAAGCGTAACTCAAAATGGATCATAGGTATGTGTAATATGTAAAATTACAAAAGTTTAGAAGAAAATATAAAATAAAATCATGTCTTCAGGTCAGGCACAGAGTTCCAGAAAAGATAGCAAGGGCAGGAACATTAAGAAAAATATGATAAATTTAATTTTAATATTTAAAATCTTATGCTTTGCCAAAGACATTGTCAAGAAAATGAAAAGACTAGTTACAGTTTGGGAAAAACATTTGCAAAGAATATCCATCAAAGACATCTATCCAGAATATATAAAGAATTCTCAAAAATTAAATAATAAGGAAACAAACAACTCATTTTAAAAAGAGGGTAGAGGGTTTGAACAAACATGTTATCAAAAAGACTAAAAATGCAACTAAGCACATGACAATGATCAGCATCATTAGCTATCCATGAAATGACAATTGACACCATGATTAAACTACACATCTATTAGAATGGTTAATTTTTAAAAAGTATTAATATCAAATTCTGGCAATTATTTGGAGCAACTGAAATTCTCTTTGCTGGTGGGAGTGCCCAGAGGGATCGGGTAGAGAGGGAGGTGGGAAGGGGGGATCGGGATGAGGAATACATGTAAATCCATGGCTGATTCATGTCAATGTATGACAAAACCACTATAATATTGTAATTATCCACCAACTAATAAAAATAAATGGAAAAAAAAAAGGTACAGCCAGTCTGGAGAGCCGTTTAGGTTTCTTATAAAGTTAAACACTTAAAATATGATGCAGTAATCCTATTCTGAGAGAAATAAAACCTATGTTTGTACATGAAACTCAGAACACATTTATTTATATTCATTATGCTTGGAAACAACCCCAGTGTCCTTCAGTTGGTATACTGTGTTATCTCCAAACATGAAATACTATTAAGGAATTAAAAGAAACACACTGCTGATCATGCAACAGCATAGACAGATCCCAAAGGCACTATGCTCTGTGCAAGGAGATCCAACCAGTCCATCCTAAAGTAGATAAGTCCTGGGTGTTCATTGGAAGAGTCGAATGCTGAAGCTGAAACTCCAGTACTTTGGCCACCTGATGAGAAGAGCTGACTCATTGGAAAAGACCCGGATGCTGGGAGGGATTGGGGGCAGGAGGAGGAGGAGACAACAGAGGATGAGATGGCTGGATGGCATCACCGACTCGATGGACATGAGTTTGAGTAAACTCCGGGAGTTGGTGATGGACAGGGAGGCCTGGCGTGCTGCAATTCGTGGGGTCGCAAAGAGTCGAACATGACTGAGTGACTGAACTGAACTGAACTGAACTGTGAAGTAGATAATCTCTAAAGGTTATATACTATTTGATTCCATTTATATAATATCCTCAACATGACAAAACAATGACAATGATAAAGAACAGACCAGTAGATTTTCCCAGTAGTTATCGGCGGGGGTGGTGGGGGGTGGCGCGGGGGGAGTGTGAAAGGGATGACTACAAAGGAATAGTGTGAGGGAGTGTTTTGAGGTGATGAAACTTCTTGTATCGTGATTGTGCTGATGGTTAAATGAGTTAAAATTCACACATCTATATATTTTAAAAGGTAAATTTACTGTATAATTTTAAAAAGTTTGACTCACCACAGAGTAGAAGAAAAGGTGTTCTGATAGTGTCAAGTCATTAAACAATAAATCACCCTGTGGGCAAAAGCCCAAATTTTCTCGAATTTCAGTTATATTCTTTGTGATGTCATATCCATCAATAAAGACCTCTCCTCTGGTAGGAGGGTAATGACCTACAAACAAGCCAAAGACATGACAGAACTGAACTTTGGTAAGAAAGCATAAGATGTTGCAAGTTAGCATCTCAAATTCACTCTATTTGTGAATTACTCAAAAGAATTAACACTGTCTCTTGTAAAAGAATAGTTACAGGAAAGTATCAATAGTTACAACTCAATGGCAGGATTGGCTGTCTTAATTTTCTTTTTCTTTTCATTTTTGCTTAAATTATTAATTTTCTACAATGGATTGGGCTATATTGATAATAAAAACATTTAAATAATTTGCTATATTTCAATGTATTTGCATTGCAGTCAGTCAATTACTATATATATGAACCATATTAGGTACTGTGTAGATGTTAAGGAAAACATAAGATTTGGAATATGTAACTTTTGTCCTGAAGAAATTTAAATACTAATAACAATCAGTTCAGATCTTGTGAGAAATTATTTGATAATGTGTAAGAAATGAAACTATAAGACCATTTAAAACACTTGAATAATGTATCCTATTTAAGAATATATTCTTTTTTACTGAGATATTGACATATAACATAGTAATTTCAAGTGTACAACATGATTTGACATTTGTATATAGTGTGAAATGATGAAGAAAAAAACTAGAGTTAACTAGAGTTAACATCCAGCACCATTCAGTTACAAATTTTTTTCTTATTGTTAGAATTTTAAGGTTTACTCTCTTAGCAACCTTCAAATTTACAGTACAGTATTAGTAACTGTAGTCATCATGCTATACATTACAATCCCATGACCTGTTCATTATAACTGGAAGTTTGTACCTTTTGACCCCTTTCATCCATTCAGCCTAGTCCCCATCCCCTGTCTCTGAGAACTACCAATATGTTTTCTGTATTTATGAGTGGCTTAAGTTTTTTTTTTTTAGATTCCACATAGAAGTGAGACTATGTGGCATTTGTCTTTATCTCATTTATTTTGCTTAGTATAATGCCCTTGAGGTTCATCCATGCTATCACAAATGGTCAGATTTTTTTTTATATCTGAATAATATAGCACTGTATAATGTACTACTTCTTCATTCATCTACTCGCACTTTGAACACATTCCCAGGTGATGCTGATGATGCTGGTCAGAGGACCAGAGGACCAGACAGTAAATTAAAGTGAAAAGTGAAGTCGCTCAGTTGTGTCTGACCATTTACCATCCCAGGGACTGTAGCCTCCTCTGTCCATGGGATTTTTCAGGCAAGAGTACTGGAGTGGGTTGCCATTCCCTTCTCCAGGGGATCTTCCCCACCCAGGGATCGAACCTGGGTCTCCCGTATTGTAGGCAGGTGCTTTTACCGTCTGAGACAGTAAATTAGGGTAAAGGTTAACTTGCTTTATAAAAGAGGCTGCAAAGAATTTTAAAGGCTTCCCAGGTGACACTAGTGGTAAAGAATCTGCCTGCCAATGCAGGAGACACAAGAGACATGGGTTTGATGCCTGGCTCAGGAAGATCCCCTGGAGTAGGAAATGGTACACCACTCCAACATTCTTGCCTGGAAAATTCTATGGGCAGAGGAGCCTGGTGCACTATAGTCCATGGGGTTACAAAGAGTCAGACATGACTAAACAATTGATACATGAGACATAAAAAAAGCTTAAATAAGACAGAAATTTTGCATTCATATGATAATTCCAAGATGAATTATCCAAGTTGGTAGGAAAATCAACTCCACGTTTTCCTTATCTAATCATCCATCAAAAAATATGTAGGTTTTTTCATCTATGCCTTGGCTATTGTAAATAATGCTACAACAAACATTGATGTGGGGGGTGTGCATCTTTCTGAGTTAGTGTTTTCATTTCCTTCAGACATATATGAAAATTGGAATGGCTGAATGATATGGTTGTTCTATTTTAATTTTATGAGGATCCTCCATACTATTTTCCATAGTGGCTGCAGCAATTTACGTTTCCACCCTGAAGGTTCCTTTTTCTCCACAGCTCTGGCAATACTTGTTATTTCTTCTATTTTTATTTTTTTTTTCATTTATTTTTATTAGTTGGAGGCTAATTACTTTACAACATTGCAGTGGTTTTTGTCATACATTGAAATGAATTAGCCATGGATTTACATGTATTCCCCATTCCGGTCCCCCCTCCCACCTCCCTCTCCACCCGATCCCTCTGGGTCTTCCCAGCGCACCAGGCCCGAGCACTTGTCTCATGCATCCAGCCTGGGCTGGTGATCTGTTTCACCCTAGATAATATACATGTTTCGATGCTGTTCTCTTGAAACATCCCACCCTCGCCTTCTCCCACAGAGTCCACAAGTCTGTTCTATACATCTGAGTCTCTTTTTCTGTTTTGCATATAGGGTTATCGTTACCATCTTTCGTTTTTTTTTTTGGTTTGTTTTTTTCTTTTTTTTAATTTTTATTTTATTTTTTCCATTTATTTTTATTAGTTGGAGGCTAATTACTTTACAACATTGCAGTGGTTTTTGTCATACATTGAAATGAATTAGCCATGGATTTACATGTATTCCCCATCCCGGTCGCCCCTCCCACCTCCCTCTCCACCCGATCCCTCTGGGTCTTCCCAGTGCACCAGGCCCGAGCACTTGTCTCATGCATCCAACCTGGGCTGGTGATCTGTTTCACCCTAGATATACATGTTTCGATGCTGTTCTCTTGAAACATCCCACCCTCCCCTTCTCCCACAGAGTCCACAAGTCTGTTCTATACATCTGAGTCTCTTTTTCTGTTTTGCATATAGGGTTATCGTTACCATCTTTCTAAATTCCATATATATGTGTTAGTATACTGTAATGGTCTTTATCTTTCTGGCTTACTTCGCTCTGTATAATGGGCTCCAGTTTCATCCATCTCATTAGAACTGATTCAAATGAATTCTTTTTAATGGCTGAGTAATATTCCATGGTGTATATGTACCACAGCTTCCTCATCCATTCGTCTGCTGATGGGCATCTAGGTTGCTTCCATGTCCTGGCTATTATAAACAGTGCTGCGATGAACATTGGGGTGCACGTGTCTCTTTATAATAGCCATTCTAACATGTATAGTGATGTCATTGTGGTTTTGGTTTGTGTTTCCCTGATGACAAGTGATGTTTCACTTGTCAGGTATATTTTCATGTACCTGTTGGCTATCTGTATGTCTTTATGAAAAAATGTCTCTTCAGATCCTTTGTCCATTTTTAATTGCTTTTTTTTTGCTAACGAATTACATGAATTCTTTATATATTTTGGATATTAAGTTTGTCAGAAATATATTTTGCAAATATTTTTATTTGGTAAGTTCCTTTTCACTTTACTATGCAAAAGTTTTTTAGTTTGACATAGATCCACTAATTTTTTATTTTGTTGCCTTTGCTTTTGGTGTCAAATTGAAAAATTATAGCCAAGACTAATGTCAAGGAACTTGCTGCCTCTTCTATATTCTAGATGTTTTATGGTTTCAGGTCTTATGTTCATGTCTTTAATGATTTTGAGTTGATTTTAGTGTATGATGTAAAATAGTGTTTTTTTTCATTCTCTTACCTGTGGTTGTGCAGTTTTTTCAACATGATTTATTGAAGAGATTGCACTTTCTCCTTAGTTTATTGTTGGCTCCTTTGTCATAAATTAGTTGGCCATATAAATGTGGGCTTATTTATGGGCTCCCTATTCTGTTTCTTTGTTTTATCTGTCCGTTTTTATGCCAATACCATCCTGATTTGATGACTATATTTTTGTAATATTGTTTGAAATCAGGAAGCTTGATGTCTCTAGCTTTGTTCTTTCTCAAGACGTCTTTGGATATTTGAGATCCTTTGTGGTTCCATACAATTTTTAGGATTGTTTTGTTGCTGTTAAAAGTGTCACTGGAATTTTGATAAAATTGCAGTTAATCTGTAGACTGCTTTTGTTAATATGGTTATTTTAATGGTACTAATTATTCTAATCCATGAGCATGAAATATCTTTCATTTATTTGTGTCTTCTTCAATCTGTTTTAATCATGTCTTATACTTTTCATTGTACAAGTGTTCTAACTTATTTTTTCCCCCTAACTTCTTTTTTAAATGTATTCCAAAGTATTTTATTCTTTTTGATGCAATTGTCTTTTTTCCTACATTTCCCTTTCTGATAGTCTGTTATTAGTGTATAGGAACAGAACAGATTAAAAAAATTATTTATTTGACTGTGCCAGGTCTTCATTGCTGCATGCAAATTCTTAGTTGCAGCATGTGGGCTCTAGTTCCTCAACCAGGGATCCAATCCAGGCCCCTTGCATCGGGAGTGTGGATCTTAGCCACTGGACTACCAGGGAAGTTCCAGAAAAGATTTTTATCCATTGATTTTGTATCTTAAAACTTAACTAAATTTGTTTATCAGTACTAATAGTTTTTTGAGGTGTCTCTAGAGTTTTATGTATATAACCATGTTGTCTGCAAATAGTGACAAATTTACTTCCTCTTTCATGATTTGGATGCTTTTAAATTTCTTTTTCTTGCCTAATTGCTGTAGGTAGCACTTCCAGTATTGTGCTGAATAAGAGTGGCAAAGTGGGTATCCTTGTCTTGTTCCTGACATTAAAGGAAAAACTTTCAGCTTTTCACTGGTGATGATGATATGACGTGTAGGCTTGCAATATGTGGGATTTATTATGTTGAGGTCATTTCCCTCTTACCCACTTTGTTGAGCCTATATCATAAATGGATGCTCAATGATTTTTCTTTGTCTATTTGGATGATTAAAAATATGTGCTCCAAAATGGAAAATTATATTCAAAGGCATCTAAATAAGGCTATTTGACTGAAGACTCAAAAGAAGAAAAGAAAATGACTAATTACAGCATATTACCATACAGCTATTAAGAGGAACATTATATAACAATTAGAAATACCATGTCACCTTGGAAAAGATAAGTATATGGCCTATAGCGATATAAGAGAATTTTAACGTGAGATGATGTTCTAAAAAGCAGAACACAAACTGCCATGTTACACAATCAGTTCAGTTGCTCAGTCGTGTCCAACTCTGTAT